CCCGCCTCGGGCCTCCCGTCCCGTCGCACCCGGCGGGGCGCCGGCCTCAGCGTCGCGGTCCTTCGCTCCCGAGATCCCCGAACCTGGACGGCTCTCCCACGTGCGTTGCAGACGTGCTGCTTCGCCAGACCGAGACCACCGGCGTCCTCCTCCCAGAGGCCTTGGGCCCGCGGGCCGCGAAGGGGGCCTTCCCGACACGCGGCGTCCCTCCCGCGTGCGCCCGCCTGCTCCTCCCTCCGCTTCCCGGCCCTCGGCCTTCCTTCCCTTCCCCTCGGCTCCCCTCACCTCGGTTCTCTTCCCCTCCCCGTGGCAGCCCCTCCTCTAGCCTTCCCAGGGCCGAACTGCGCAAAAGCAAACTGAACTGCGGCTGTGTGTTTGCTCCTGCTGGGGGTGTGAATGCATTGCTTTGCTTAGGTGGCCTGTAGGCTCCAGTCTGGTGGGCTCTGCTACTCACTTTTCAGAGAAATTGCTGGGGTAGAACGCAGAGTCCTTGCTCCCCTTTGCGCGTTTTTCACTGAACTCAGACATTCTTTCCTTAGCCCTTATGTATTCTGTTGGTCCTCCTTCGGTTTACTTGGGGGTGTAACTTTATTTCTTTTGAAGGCGTAAAGGCAATGTTATGTCTTTAAAGTTTTTAATACAGACTTGTAGAGCTATGCATTTCCTATAGTCCTGCTTTGGTTAATAGATCAAATTTTGATACATTGCTCAAAATATTTAATAATTTCCATTGTGATTTCTTCTCTGTGTATATATCTATTATATCTGTACATATATAATGTATTGCATATCATAATGTCTTATATTGTGACATAGAATATAATTACATATTATACTATTTGTTATGTAATTACATAATATAAAATATATGATACTTATAACAGTATGTTTAAAATAAAATTAATGCTTATAATTACTATCTTAATATATTTATAATTAATATAACATACGTAGTATATATGTATTACATATTTGTAGGGGCTGGGAATGTGGCTTGGTAGAGTGCTTGCTTAGTATGCATGAGGCCCTGGGTTCAATTCCTTGGTACCACATGAAAATAAATGAATATATCTTGAAAAAAAATAAATGAATATAGATTTATAATTTTTTCTCAATTTTAGGCAAGCTAGGTAAGTGCTAGCCTCTGACTCATGAGCTATTTGTCTTTTTTCTGTTTTTTTT